CACACACACGCACACACACGCACACACACACACGCACACAGAGTGACAGAGTGCGCACAAGGAAAGCACTCGCACAAGTAAACACACGACCAAGCACGCATGCACACACACACACACACACACACACACACACACACAGAGTAAGCGTAGGTAAAGGCACACACCTTTCGGCGGACCAGCTCAGGGTAGTGATCCTGAAGTAGATGGAGAGTCCTCTTTGTAGCTATGCGCTGTTCCTTGTTCTTGAAGGGAGACGGAGCGCTCTTCATGTCCTGTATTTGCAAGATGTGGCAGCAGCCCTGCGGTCGGAAATCGAGCATCTTCACACCTTCCTCCATAACCGACAGCCTCCATCGAATGAATTTATCTACCCCTTCATCAGTTCCAAACGTCCTCTCGTACAGCTCTTTGTCCGAGAATTCTCCATAGACATTGTAGCAGACAGGATTGCCGATTTTGTCTCTCCCAAGCATGAAAGACACCTTGTCCAGACCTTTGTCAAACTCTTCCTCACACAGAGTATCCGCTGAATAATTCTTCCTCCACTCCAGCGTGTTCTTCAGCATTTTCAGCGCCTCCTCTACCTTGAAATCCCTCGCCCTTAAGAACTTCAGCAGTATTACATCCGTTCTCTCGTCCCCAGCAGAAGCTTTCAGTGGAACTCCCCACAGTTCCACCGGCATTGCTTCATCTTTCCCTTCTGCTGCTAACTCTTCGAGTCGTTGGCGCAACTCCATCAATGCCTTCTTGTCGTGTTCGTTTGAATCCTCAATCGCGTCAGACTCTTTGGCCCCGCCGGAGCTGTCCACCGACAAGTCTGACACCGCCTTGCCAGGCTTCGCGCCGCCAGCATCCTCCATCGAAACAGCCCTTTCTTTCACCGCCCCTTCTTTGCCTTCGTTCTTCTCTCCACCTGGCTGTTCCTCTAAAGGCGTAGGAGGAGTAGGAGCAGACCCTACGGCTCCCACCACAGCATTACCGTTCGCATTCGCCGCAGCTTCTGTCACTCCGTTCTCCCCTGCAACGCCCTCACTCCCGTTCACCGTCGCTTCTTGAAGATTACCCCCGGCAGCTCCCGCCTTCGCTTCTTGCTCGCCGGCGGTTAACGGAGAATAACCCCCGGCCTTTTGTTCTCCTTCCATCTGAGGAGACGTGGACGCGGTTTCTCTCTCTCTCTCTCTCTCTCTCTCTCTCTCTCTCTCTCTCTCTCTCTCTCTCTCTCTCTCTCTCTCTCTCTCTCTCTCTCTCTCTCTCTCTCTCTCCCGCGCTCTCTCTCTCTCTCTCTCTCTCTCTCTCTCTCTCTCTCTCTCTCTCTCTCTCTCTCTCTCTCTCTCTCTCTCTCTCTCTCTCTCTCTGTGCACTCGCTCGCGGAGGCCCGAACGCGCGTGCCCCACACCCTTCGAAATGCCAAAATATGGAGCGTCCTAGGTGCTCGACGCCTGCTTGTCAAGCGTGCTTTACGTACCAAAACGCAACAGCGTTCAACACGCCCGTGCCAATTAGAGGGATAGTATTGGGCAAGGCCTTGCCGTCAAAGTACTCCCTGGACGTTGGCAGTCGTTCACATGCTGCCCTGCTCAGAGTAGATAGGGAAGATCAGAAGTGCAGTAGGACCAGAATCGCGGTTCACGTCAGAAGGCAGACGGAGAGCGGAGCTGCTTACCGACGGGGAAGTGGAGACCAGTCGGACAAGACCGGAACGAACGAGCCGCTAGCAACGCGAAAGAAAGGGGAGATAAAGCAAAAGGCGAGAGGCAGGGAGACGAGCACACTCCGCAGCGTCGTGGACAGCCAGACCCACAAACCCGAGGAATCGGACACTTCCTATCCCGTGCCACAACTCCCTCCGAACTTCAATCGCAGAGCTGACAACAACCCGATGGCTGCAATCTCAGTCCTGCAATCTGTTGTGCGTGCGTGCGTGCTCGTATTTGTTTTGCGTGCAAGTCAGAGTGGAAGCTCTGAACAACAACCGCGCGCTCTTTGGAGGCCCTTCCTCTTACGTTTCTCCTTCCTTGTCTTGTCTGTGCTGGAATTTAATCGCTGTAGCCACCTCGTGTCGTTGACTTCAACTCTAGTTTCGCTCCTGCGTCGATTTGGCACTCCCTATTTGTGCTGACTGATGTCGGACGGTGATCAGAGGTCCGCCATTCGAACTGCAATACACAGACAGAGGCAGCCCTGCGTTCTTCTATCTCTTCTACCCACCACTCCACCCCACACTGCTGGCCGCCTACTTGGTTTCCGTCACCTTCACCTCCCTTTGCTCGGGTAGTGCTTGTTGCCTTGACGTGTCCTTTACTGATCTGGCCTCTGCCTGGGCGTGATGTCGCGCGGCGTGGCACATGGAGAGGAGCTGCCGTCGAGAGGGCGGTGCCTCGCTGCGCTGGCTGAGTGTGGTTCGCCTCTTCCACACTTGTGTAGAACGCTGTCATGCCACCATAACCAAACCAAACAAAACCCGTTCTCACGGCTCTCGCACCAGCCTCTTGTGTCCCCGCGCAACCGACCAAACCGAACAAAACCGAACAACCAGAACCATCGGGGACCGCGACATCTCCGGCTCCCGATCTCCAGCTGTCTGGCCGCTTTCACTGGCCCGCCATCGTGGCATCTAGGAGCCTGGTACCGCCGCACCACCTGACTCGGTACATCTGACACGCTCGTCCCGTCTGTGACGACGACTGACAACAGACACAAGATTTTGTTACCGCGAGGGCGCGGGTACGCGGGTACGCAGCCCCCACTGGCAGCCGACACAGTGGGGGGTGCTGCAGCAGACAGGGGAGCCCAGTAGCAGACAGACAGGGGAAGCTGCAGTGAGGGCCCAGTTCAAGCCGCCTGGTAAGCTGGGGGCCTCGCTCGACTACTCACCAAACGTGCAAAATGGGAAAGAATCTTCCCCTAAAACATGGAAATATACCTCGCCATATTTCTTGTCTTTTGTTCATGTGCCGTGTAGTGGAGCGAGGCCCGAGGTTACATCCTTTCGGAGCCTGAAGATACCACCAAAACAGCGGACCCTGAATGTACTACCAACAGGGGCCAGCGGTAAGAGAGTATGGACCAGGGACGCCCTCGTTGCTCTCTTTTCCTTTGGGCCTCGTTCCACACCGCTTCACTTGAAACTCGACTGCCCACTCTACTTGCAAAAGTGATTAAAAAATACCTGAGTCACGTTTCGTTCCACTAGTCTGCCCTTGAAATGAGTGAGGAACAACTCGCGAGAGGTTCAACCAGGACAATGGCGTGAGGAAAAGGAGAATAAACGAGGGAAAAAAAAACTATGGGGGGGCTCTACATATACCTTCAGCGCCAAGCTCAAGTGTGCCTAGAGAGGTGACTTGAAAAACGGGTAGGTTTGCCTGGGCCGCACTTGAGCCGCGCTTGAGCATTTCCCACCCATTTGCTAAACCCGAAAATCTAATTGTCTACCGCGTGGGCGCAGGGAACGCAGCCCTAAGGTAGCCAAATCAATGAGACTAAGAGCTAACACAAGAGAGAGAGAGAGAGAGAGAGAGAGAGAGAGAGAGAGTTTTGTTCCATTTGTTGATACGAGAGAGAGAGAGAGAGAGAGAGAGAGAGAGAG